GGAAATGGCTTTCTCACTTTCCCAAGTGGCATTTAATTGCTGACCATTGGTGACATGTGTTTGGGTGGAATACCTCTTGAGAACCTTAGCAATTGAGTAAATAATACAGGTACATCAAGCCAGCAAGCATCTAATAAAAGCAGGTGTTCACAGCCAAAGTCTGTTCAAAAACTGCAATATCTATGTTGACTGTGATTAAAGTGGGATTACAATTGCTCACCTTCGGGGCACAATAAACAGCAAAGGAGATAGAATAAGCTGCGTGAAAGTCAATAAGAAAGGCCACTGCTATTTGGCAAATCATTCCAAGACAGCAACTGTCAAAATTAAATTTCAAGTTATTAAAATGCCAGTTATTAAAATAGCAGTGAACGTGCAATCTGTTTTCCTTTTCAGTATGATATTTCTATTATCTTATGTAAAATTTACACATTAGCAATTAATATGTTTTTCTGGGTCTTCAAGTTATTTCTTAAGGCAACACTAAGGTGAACCTTTCAAATACTTTTTTTTGACAGGATTTATTCAGTAGCGGTTGCCTGTGGATATAGGGTGCATTACATAGTACCCACAGCCTGAAAAACTCACAGTAACCCAAACGTTAATGTAATTTGAGACCACTTTAACTGCCATGTCTCAACGCTATGGAATTCTTGGTTTGGGGACTCCTGCTATAGAGACACCATTGGATAATGTGGTTTGCTCAAGGTCACCCAGTGACTTTTTATGACTGCACAGGGATTCGAAATTTGGTCTCCTGAGCCATAGTACAAAACATGAACCACTATATCACACTGGCTCTCTAGCAATGAATTATCAACAAACACAAACATAAAGGAAACTCAGGACCCTTCTACACTTCTATATAAAATATCTGTTTTGAATTGGATTATATGGCAGTATAGTAAAGGTTTCCCCTGACATTAAGTCTAGTTGTGTCCAATTCTGGGGAGTGGTGCTCATCTCCATTTCTAAGCCGAAGAGCTGGCGTTGTCCATAGACACCTCCAAGGTCATGTGGCCGGCATGACTGCATGGAGCACCATTACCTTCTCGCAGAAGTGGCACCTACATTTGCATGTTTTTGAACTGCTAGGTTGGCAGAAGCTGGGCCTAACAACGGGAGCTCAACTCACTCCCCAGATTCAAATTGCTAACCTTTCAGTCAGCAAGTTCAGCAGCTCAGCGGTTTAACCCACTGCACCACTAGGGGGCATATATGGCAGTATAGACTCATATAACCCAGCTCAAAGCAGATAATGTGGATTTTCTTCTTCAATAATCTGGATTATATGGCAGTGTAGAAGGGGCCCCAGAAAGAAGAATTGCAGGAAATGAAACTCCTGTACTTTATTACTAAAATAATCTTGTCTTTGGGTGACCAGAGGCATGAATTATAAATTATTTCACAATTTGCATAAGTTATATTACAGTTATCCTGGAATTAATTTCCTTTCTTCCTTCTGCCATCCTTTTTTTTGACAGCATTGTCCAGAGAGAGCTCTTACTAATATACTTCTGTAAAGTTTAAATCTGCAAGAGTGCAACCTTCTTCTGCATTTGAATTTTGTGATATGATAGTCTGTCTATTTCATATGCCCTTTAGATCATAAAAGAATTCACAGTGGAAACTGTTGTTAGATTTTATCATTTGTTGAGGAGGATTCTGAAATTCTGGCTTCCTCTCTGATCAAATGACAGCTTCTTCAGATGGAGGCTGTGATAAAGAGAAGAAAAGTGCAAACAAAATGCCCCAAGAAATGGAGCAATTCTCCCATGAGAAAAGATTAGTGTCAGGTGAAAGGGACTGAAAAAAAGAGAGAAGAATGGAGACTATGGAGAGTCAAGATAGATGTACATAAAACTAGGAAATAAGAATGTGGATTGACATATTTTTTCTATTTTTTAAATTATAAAATTGGCAAAGCACAAGACTTTTTCCCTCAGCATTTTGGGAAAATATCACATTTTTTTAAAAAAATGTCCAAACCAATTACTGTATGCAAAATCTTGTCATGAACTTTGTACAAATAAATCTCCAGTGTGAATAACTATTGAAAAATGTGCAAAAGCTCTTATAAATTTAATGAATAAAAATGATTGTTGTTGACAGTGGTGGTGGTGAGAGTGTGGATGAGAAGTTACAAAGACGAATATCTGTGGAAGGTCCATGGTGGGAGAAAAACTCTTGTCTGTTGGACCTAAGTGTGAATGTTTCAATTGGTCATCTTGATTAGCATTTAATGACCTAGCAGTTTCCAGGTCTGGCTTCTTACATAAAAGGCACTGCAGACTATTTCAACCAGAGAAGTCAGCCATAGCAGAGCACATGATGAACCAACCTGGATACAACATATTATTTGAGAACACAGAAATGCTGGACTACTCTAGCAACTACCATGTGAGACTACACAGAGAAGGCACTGAAATCCACAAGCATGTGGACAATTTCAACAGAAAGCAGGAAGCCATGAAAATGAACAAAATCTGGTTATCTGTATTTTAAAAAATTCTAAAATCAAGGCAGTAAATAAAGAAAAACACTCAGAAAACAGGGGAATTCCAGACAGGAAACAATCAGGGTCAGCTAACACCCCCCAACAAAGAATTACTCCAGACAGGAAGAAGCCAGACCTTGAAATTGCTAGGCCATTAAAACTTAATTAAAGTGGCCAATTACAACATTCACACCTACCTCAAACAAACGAGAGTTTTTTTTCTCCCGCCCTAGACAATCCACAGATGTATAAACCCAATTTTCTTAGTTTCCCACAGACCTCATAACCTCTGAGGATGCCTGCCATAGGTGCAGGTGAAATGTCAGGAGAGAATGCTTCTGGAACATAGCCATACAGCCCAGAAAATACATAACAAACCAGTTAACAAAGATTTGCACCCTGACTGTGGGAATAGTAATTTTTTTTTGTCGTGTCAGGAGCGACTTGAGAAACTGCATAGTAGGAATAGTAAATAAGAAGATGCTTTTCTTTGTCTTTCATGATACAAGGATTCAGGGTCATCTACTGAAAGTTAGATGGAAGGGGGTCACAGAATCCCACAATAACGTAGGATGCATCCCTCACAGTTCAAATTGATTCATATTGTATAGTGTAACAGAGCCATAAAGAAAAGCATGCTTTCTTTATAGGGCACAGATAATAAACCAGGGGCACCATAAGTCCTCTTCAGTTCTGGTTTCTCAAAGTGTCGTGGTTGAGAATCTGAGAAGCCATAGACATGAGGACTACAGGGTTGAGCTGGCCTGTATGGCCCCATTTCCAATTGAAGGAATGTAAGTGCAAACCATTGATTTGTGGGGTTCCACAGGTTCTGTATTGCCTCTCCCCCCCAAATATTGTTTAACATCTACATGAAGCCACTGGGAGAGTTTTGAATTTCCATGCCCCCTCGGCTATGGAATTCCCTTCCCAGCTAAATCAGGTCAGCTCCCTCTCTCCTGACCTTCAGAAAGCATGTAAAACATGGCTTTGGGACCAAGCCTTTGACCAATAGCACAGTGCAATAAGTGATTATGGAAAATGTGCAGTGACAATTGGAACGGCTTTTTGACTATGATCTCGGATAGCGTGGTTTTAATAATGTGTTTTAATCTGTATATGATTTTCAATTCATTTTGTTGTTGTTGTTCATTCATTCAGTCGCTTGACTCTTCGTGACCTCATGGACCAGCCCACACCATAGCTCTCTGTCGGCCATCACCACCCTCAGCTCCTTCAGAGTCAAGCCAGTCACTTCAAGGATGCCATCCATCCATCCCGCCCTTGGCTGGCCCCTCTTCCTTTTTCTTTCCATTTCCCCCAGCATCATTGTCTTCTCTAAGCTTTCCTGTCTTCTCATGATGTGGCCAGAGCACTTCATCTTTGCCTCTACTATCCTTCCCTCCAATGAGCAGTCGGGCTTTATTTCCTGAAGTAGAGACTGGTTGGATCTTCTGGCGGTCCAAGGTACTCTCAGCATTTTCCTCCAGCTCCACAATTCAAAAGCATCTATCTTCCTTCACTCAGCCTTCCCTATGATCCAGCTCTCACTTCCGTAGGTGACTATGGGGTATACCATTGCTTTTACTATGCAGATCTCCATTGCCAATGTGCTGTCTCTACTCATAGAATATGTTTATTCTATGTCCGTTGTGTTTATGGCATAGAATTGTTGCCTTTTGTAAGGATGCTCTGAGTCCCCTTCAGGGTTGAGAAGGGTGGAATATAAATACTGTAAATAAATAATTAAATATGTTATCTTCACAAGCAGTCTGGCTGCTATATTCCACACTTCTGAACTTTCATTGTAGTGGATTGAATTGTGCATTTGACTCATATAAACCCTAAAGCAGTGGTTCTCAAGCTGTGGGTCCCCAGATGTTTTGGCCTTCAGCACCCAGAACTTCTAGAAGTTGGTAAACTGGCTGGGATTTCTGGAAATTGTAGGCCAAAACACCTGGGGACCCACAGGTTGAGAACCACTGCCCTAAAGGCACCAGATCCTGTCTGATGATCTTGGAAACTCAGTCCTTGTTAGTACTTGGATGGGAAACTGATGATGAAAACCACAAGCTATATTTCAGACGAATGCTTCCGGAATGTATGGGGTCACCATCGGTCAACAGATGAAGGCATATATGTATAGATATACACACAATGTATCTTCTAACAAAGCAGTATGGTGAAATTTCCCCTGTTCTCATGTGCTTCAGTATATGCTGGCATTCACTGAAACTAAGCCCAATACTCCTCTTGCCAGAGCTAGTCATATAAAAAGTCAAAAACCTTTTATTTGTGATGGTTGTGGGCCAAAACTGGTTTTCCCCCAAGAAATATATTTTATAGCTCTGTTCATGGGGCATCTGTTCAACTCCAAGGATCTCAAAACCTGTGTGTTCATTTTCACTGCTCATACTCACGTGATACTTTAAGTCCCACCAGCCCAGACTTGTGTAAACAAGTTTTATAGTATCTCTGACTCCTGGTTAAAGTACAACTGTTTTCCACTTCACTCTGGTTTCTATTCAGACGTCTTGCTGAGGCATGAAGGCTTTTGACACAAATGTTCGACAGGCAAACATTTTTCAAAAGAGCCCTTCTTGGTGAATCAGTAACCTAACATCCAGCATTGGTTTGTAAAAAGCTATTTGGAATTTCAAAGATGTGGCTGAATACCCACAATTTGATCTCATGTTGCTTTGCAATCTTATTTTGCATGGAAGAACTTGTCGCCTCTCAAAATGTGTTTTGGCTAAAAGACTATTCTGCAGGTGGGGATTATTCTAGGAAAGGCAAAGCCAAAAGAGCCCTGCCCAGGAGAAGTTACTGTGGACTACGTGGCTGCTGTCCAGGCAGAGACGATGACTGCACAGTTCCCTACTATGCCAGAAATGCCACCTGCTACTGTGACAGTTTCTGTTCTTCAGACCCTGTTGGCTCTATAGACTGCTGCCCTGATTTCTGGACTGTCTGCCACCAGCAGTCTCCTCAACACCCAACTCCTGCAGACATACGAATATCTCCAGCACCACAAGTGGGTGAGTAATAAACAAATGAATTGACTGCACAGAGACAGAATTTATGTCTTTTCCTGACTGTAATTGGTTCAATATTATAACTTATTTTTAAAATAACTAGATAGGCTAAGAAAACCTAGGAGGAATTGGCTTTTGGAGATGCCTCAAGTACAGTAGGTCCTCAGCTTTCATGGGGATTAGGGGGACAAGGCTTTAATAAATTTTATTTATTTATTTATAATAATAATAATAATAATAATAATAATAATAATCTTTATTTATACACCGCCACCATCTCCCCGAAGGGGACTCAGGGCGGCTAACATGAGGCCAAGCCCAGAATTACAGTACAACAAAATAGAATAAAATACAAACAGCAACTAATAACATCAAAATATAATAATAATAATAATAATAATAATAATAATAATAATAAGAAGAAGAAGAAGAAGAAGAAGAAACTTTATTTCTACCCTGCTACCATCTCCCCAATGGGGACTCGGTGCAGCTTACATGGGGCCAAGCCCGGACAACATAATACAGCAATAAAATGAAAGCATATGCATCAGACTACAACAACATTATCAAAATGACATTAAAATAATAAAAAAATAATAATAGTAATAATAAAATAAAAATAAACTAAAATACCAATAGACACAATCACGATAGAAATGAAAATGGGCCGGCCACATATTCCGAATAAAAACAATTAACAGACTAAAATGGGATAAAATAGTAGCAGGAAGTTTAAATCCATAAAATAACAGAAAATGAAATAAGCTAGATGCAAACATTTATATTCTGCCCTTCCCACCCTGAAGGGGACTCAGGGTGGAGCACAACATATATACAGCAAACATTCAATGCTGGAACATAAAATAAACTATAAATATACATAATAAAATCAGTTATCTCCACTTTAAAATGAATTGTTAAAACCATCTCAGATCAGCCATAACGGATCAGCAGGGTAAAGTTTCCTATTCCTTCCTTATTGCATTGTGCCAAAGGTTTGGTCCCATAGCCAAGTTTTTTTTTGAGGGGAACAAATATGAGTAAAAAACAGGTACTTTTTTTTATCCAGAGCAGGCCCATAGCCAGGATTTTGTTTCGGGGGGGGGGGGGCTGAGTCTGAGTGAAAGAGGTCTACCCTAGCAAACCTTTTGTATCGTTACCCCAATACCCCCATGCATATGGGATATATTGAGCATGGTGATCAGATCATGATATGAATAAACATAACAGTTTAAATAATGTACCAGTAAGGCCTTCTCACAGACCACCATGAGAATTTCGGGGGGAGGCTGAAGCCCCCCCCCCCTCCGGCTACATGCCTGATCCAGAGGCAACGCTTCTCTAAGAATATCAAAATTCTCCAGTTTGACTTTATGGTCAGTTTCTGGCAAAAGCTGACCACCACAGAATTGCACTGGGAGACCTAAAAATTCCTAGAGATAAAATGTTAATTAAATCCACAAATAATCAAATCTTCAAAAGTTAAATCTGCAAATGTGAGGCCTAACTGTAGTCTGAATTGTGAATGTACAAAAATGAAAGACAAAAATGGATGGTTTCTGTCCACTGGTATAAGAAGACGTTTTGTTCCTTTCCTCCTTCTGTCCTATGCAGGGGTGTGTGTGCTTGCAAGTTGTCTTTTGATTATACTTGTCTTTATTATCATTTAGTTTTGTACAATTAATTAGGAGTAATATTTCTGAGTTTATTCTCAACTTGTCTATTTGACTTGTTTTGCCTGTGTTGATTTAATTTTCCTGATTGTCACGTGTTTATTTGTTTCAATATTGTTTTTTTCTGTTGTAAGGTGCTCCAAGTCCCCTTGGGGAGAGAAGGCGGAGTATAAATAAAGGTTGTTGCTGTCGTGACTTGATGAATTTCATAGAATTTTCTTAAGCAAAGAATACTTAGAGGTAGTTTCCCATGACTATAATTGGAAATATAGCCTACAGCACCTGGTATTTCTTGCTGGTCGCCCATCTAAATATTAGCAATGCCTGTCCCCACTCAGCATCCAAATTCAGATGGGATCTCGTGTCTCCAGGGTATTTAACTCTGGCAGCCATTCACCCACCCACCCCTTAATTCTCAGAGGGGGTCACTTAATAATCCAGAGCAGATTTTAGGGTGTGCAAATGCTTTAGGGTGCACACAGCGTACTAAAGAAAGGATAAGGAATGTGTTCTACTGTAGCTTGAAAATAAGAAACTAAAATAATGTGCAGGATTAATTTAGGCAAAATTACTTCCTATTTTCTAACAAGACCCATTGTGATGTATTTGCACAATGAAACCAAGTTTTAGCTCCTTATTTCTTTTTTTCTATTGCCCTTCATATCTCCAATCAAAAATAATCATTTAAAACTTTATAAAAAATTATTTCTCATTTGCAATTCTGGAAGGCTTTGCAAGCAATAGGAACACTGGTGTGCAGATTAGCAAGTTTTGTTGGGAGCAGACAATCTTTGCAGATTGCCTGTGGTTTCTTTCAAAATCTATGACCAACATGACAAGCTGAAAATTTCCCTTATTATTGTTAACATAATAGGATTCATTTTTGCTTTTCTTGATGGTTAACTAAATGAATTAAGCACTTTTAAAAAAAGGAATATTCCATGCTCTGTATTCCACGGGTGGTTTCCATTCTGGTATTAGGAAGTTTCATAGAGTTCATCAATTATTTTTGTTGCAATGGTCTGTAAAAAAAACAATAAGAAGGTAAAAATGATTGCAAATATACCAGCTGTTCCTGATTTAATTTATAAGCAATGTTGCAACTGAAAAATACCATGGCCTTCTGAGATTCTGAGGTTTGCAATTTGGGGAGACGCAGTTAGGACTCTCCCCAAATATGATTCCCTAACTTCAGTTCACCGAATCCTATAAATGTTGCTATGACAGGGTTGTTGTAAGTGTTTTGGGCTATATGGCCATGTTCTAGAAGCATTCTCTCCTGACGTTTCGCCCGTATCTATGGCAGGCATCCTCAGAGGTTGTGAGACCTCACAACCTCTGAGGATGCCTGCCATAGATGCAGGCAAAACATCAGGAGAGAATGGTTCTAGAACATGGCCATATAGACCAAAAATCCTAAAACAATCCAGTGATTCCGGCCTTGAAAGCCTTCAACAATACATTGTTGCTATGACAGTTTACATGGAGTCACAATACTATAACTGTGTAGTATGAAAAATATCTGGTTTTTTGCATGAGAAGGAACAAGGTCTGCTATGTTCTTCATAGAAAAAAAATTAGTCTATTTTTTTCTAGATAAAGACAGACCAAAATTTATTTGGCTAGGGTTGTAGACAGCGTTGGAACACATGGGTCTGGATCCAGGCATATACCAACTCAATGTTGATAAATGAGCCTAAAATCACATGTGATCCCAAAGTCCTTGGAATGGCATGTGATGATCCAGATGTTCAGATGCCCAGCGTGGGCTTATAGTAAACCAAGGGATGTAGTACATCTGCCTCTAGCTGGGCAATGCCACTACACCCCACACCCCTTGAGTCCCTGCAGTAGAGACCCCCATCTGGTACCTATGCCTCAAAACTACTGGTTACCCAATCCTGGATCCATGAAGCAACTGTAGCAAATAGATAACATGTGCATGATGTAACACAAATATAGGGAGGAAAGGTGGGATGAAGCTCAGAGAATGCTTCTTGAGACCTCAGCTTCCCATAGCTTAAATATTTGATCACCTGACCAAGCAGCCACTAATTCAACCCCTATCCTTGAATCCTTTGGCTGGTTATTTATCTATCATGTCAGAAGTGAATTGAGGATACAGTTAAAATGCGTTTAAAAACACAAAGTTTTAAAAAACTTGGCATTATGCTAAATGCCCTTTGATCAGTAGCTAGCCACTTGGAGTTCTTCTGGTGTTGCTCTGTGAAGGTCCTTCATTGTGCATGTGACAAGGCTCAAGTTGCATTGTAGTGGATGGTCTATGGTTTGCTCTTTTCCACACTTGCATGTCATGGACTCCACTTTGTAGCCCCATTTCTTAAAGTTAGTTCTGCATCTCGTGTTGCCAGAGCACAGCTTGTTCAGCGCCTTCCAGGTCGCCTAATCTTCTGTGTGCACAGGAGGGAGTTTCTCATCCAGTCTCAGCCACTGATTAAGGTGCTGGGTTTTAACCTGCCACTTCTGGATTCTCACTTGCTGAGGTGTTCCTGCAAGTATCTCTCTCGATCTTAGGAAGCTGTTTCTTGATTTATGCTGTTGACATGCTGGTGCACCCTGCCTAGCTAGGATTAAATCTTCCAAACCTTAAGAGGCACTGGGATGAAGCCAGCTCTTCAGTGCCAGGGCACCTGAGATGCTGCACTCCTGCTTCACAACAATAGCTTCCCAATAAGCAATGCATCACATTTTTTCCCCACATGGAAACTCATACAGATTTTGATATAAAATTTCCTCAGTTTCTGCACTTTTTAATGCATTTTAATGCAATTGTCATAAAGTAATTGGTTTCCCACATTGACTTTAAAGCATGTTTCCATACATTTTCCCAAGGTAACATTTTCTTGAATTTTGTACATTTCTTTGTGTGCAGTTCAAAGAGATAGTGGAGAATATTTCATTTCATTTCATTTATATCCCACCATTCTCTCAACAAGGTGACTCACTTTCCCCTCGTGTTCCCTATATGCTGATCTCTCTCTCTCTAGATTCTTTTCTCCTGTTGCAAACATTTGTTCATCAGCTATAGCTTGTTGGTGCAGTCTCAAAAGGTTTTGTTATTTCATCTTAGCTTTTATCTTAGCTTTTATCACGGTTAACATTGTTATTTAAATACACAAGCTGTTAATGCCATTTTAAGTTTCATACTTAGCACTGCTTTTTAAATTCACCTTTTAAAATTTATGTTTTAATGCCTAAATGTATGTTTTATGCACGTTCTACTAATTCTTTTAATGCTTGCCATTGACCAAAATAAAAATATTCTGTTCTGTTCTGTCCTCACATCATAGTTTTTTTTTCACAAAGTGGGGAATAGAATGACAACTGTTTTGATGTCCCTTCATGTAACTTCTGATGGCTATAATGCATTTCTGTGGTTAGAATTATGCAAAGTTCATCCTCCACCAATGCATGCCATTTCAAACTTGATGGAAACATAAGGTGAACCTATCACATGATTTTCTGGTAATATTTGTTTAGAGGGGTCTTACCATTGCCTCCTTTTGAGTCTGTCTTGACCACAATCACAAGGTAACTGAGTGGGGATTCACAAACTGCATTATATGGCTGTGTAGATCTGGCCTTAGTCTCCCTAAATCCTAGCACATCACTCAACTAAATTATGATAAAGTTTAATATGCAGATTTGATAAATGAGGATTTAATATGATGTGTGGGTTTTAATGGAATTGAATGGAAGAATGAATGCATGAAAGTTAATTATTTTGGAGACACCAGTTCTAAAATATTAAGGCCTGTAATGACTAACTGCCTGCTTGCTGGACTGTAATTAAAAGTTGCTAATGAGAACTGAAAAGTAAACTGTGATAAGAGCTATGACAGTGATAAGAGAAATATTTACATCTGTTTACATCTGTCAACATTTGTTGACCAGAAATGGGATTAACTCTAAAGGCTGTTTACATTAGTCAAAGACAATGCTCTTTCAAATCAAATCCAGAACACAATGATTTGTTCCTGAAGATCAACATCTGTGTCAGGAGGTGAAGACCCAAGATAATTTCAAATAGGACAATTATTTACTATATCAGCAGAATATTCCTATAAAAGATTCGATCTAATAATTCTCAAAATGTGACAGACAGAGATGCTGTTCACCAGCTATGCTCTGGTCCATGGGAAGGACTGAGACGGTGTATTTGGAGAGTGTCAGATCTGCTAAGGGAAAGCAGATCTGACACTTGCTCTTCATCTTAAGGGAAGAGGAAGGAATGTGGTTTTTAAGTCATGATACATTTACAGGGAGCCAGGTTCTGCTGTATGGAAAACAGAGATCTGGTCCTTGGCATTGTTCTTGGGGAAAGAAGTTTTGGCATTTTGGAAGTTTCGGCATTATGGAAGTTTTGAAACTGTGCATTGGCAGGCTGCAGGGAAAGTGGGGTCTGACCTAAGAGGTGTTCTTTTCCAGGAGATGACAGAGAAAGAATAGTGATGTATGCATGAGGATGAATGCATGTACATGTGTATGAATGCTGAATAAACATGCAATCCTCCTTTCTTTACTAGCCCATATAATAGGTGTTTGTGAATCCAATGTAGTTGCATAGAATCTGTATGTCTATATGTTCAATGTTATTCTTTGTGTAAATGTTCTGTGGAAGTTCTAATACCCTCTCACACTGGAAACTGAAATAAAAAGAACCTATGTTTTAAAGTTATTGAAAAGTTATTCATGATAACTGAGACCCTATAGCTGAACCAAGGACATCCAGTAGGTTTCCATGGTGGAGCAGGAATTGGAAGCCTAGTTTTATAATTCATCACTCAAACCAGTGCATCTTGTTGACTCTCATTTCACAGAGATATTTAAATGTGTATGCGTGCTTTATTTACAGGAAGTACACAATATAAAAATTTTGGAGGAGGGAAAATATTGTATCATCAGATGTTTTCAGAAATATTAAATTTGACTGACTTATCAGTAGTACCTACAATGACCACCGTGGGGACACATTCTGGAAGTCTTTCCAGACATTTATGGGAATGACTCATTTAATGATTATGTTTACTGATGCAGAAAATTGAGCATTTTATTTGGCATGAAGTTTAGAATAAATTTAGTGGGTAAAAGTTAAAACTTGAACTGAAAAACCCCCAATCAATTAACTCTCTTGTAGCAAGCAAATTATTCTCTGCTTTTAAAATTCTGTTGACAGGTTGCTTCACAGATGAACAACATCATGGAGAAGGAGCAATATTTAGAGACAACTGCAACTCCTGGTAATAGTCTGGAAATAAAAACAAGCAGGATATCTATTAAAGTGGGTGATATGAGCGGATAATAATATGTAACAAGAGTTTTGTTCCTGGGTTATAAATGTCATTTCCTAATTAGTTCTGTCATAAAAACATGGAAAAAATTATTAAACTGCAAAAACTTTGTTTTTGTGGGATGTCCTGCAACACATTTTGCTATAGTTTTTCAATGAATATCTCATCAAGTCTCAAACGATTCAACATAGTTTATCGTAGCCACAAAAACGAGGCTTCTTGAGTATAACAACTACTTCCAAAGTAAGCACCACACATTTAAACAGGAATCATACTTTCAAATCAAGAACAGAAAAGTTTTCAAATGTTGTATAATCTTCCTGAGCTCATAGCAACTTGAGTTGACCCTTGAGAAAATTTACCGGTCTGAATGAGTACAAAATGGTACCAACATGTTTGTGTCTGCACCGTTGTTTGCCATGATCTCTAGATGGTTTTATTTTGGTTCATTGATGGTTTGTGTGTTTAACATCCTGTTTTTATCCTACATTGAACCAAAGAAGCTTAAACATTAAACCACTTCAAAAGTTAGAACAACGTAATTGGAGTAATCTATATTATAGATCTATATCTTTATTTCAAAGGAATCAATTCTCTTCCTGTACGTTTTCTTCACTGGCTAGCTTTCATTGCCATACTTAGAAATTGGAAATATGATAGTATGGACAATCCTGATATATATATATATATATATATATATATATATATATATATATATTCCAGTTGAATTCTTGCATATCCGTTCTTCCAGCTCCTAGTTGTCTTCTAGCATCTTGCAGTAGCCCTGTTAGGATATAATATAATTTGCTTTTTCCAAAACGTCTTCCTTGCACATGTGTGTGCTTGGGCAGGGCTTCATTAGACATTCTAATGCAGTGGTTCTCAACCTGTGGATCCCCAGATGTTTTGGCCTACAACTCTCAGAAATCCCAGCCAGTTTACCAGCTGTTAGGATTTTTGGGAGCTGAAGACCAAAACATCTGGGAACCTACTGGTTGGGAATCACTGTTCTAACGGGAATACAACAATAAAGACTTGATTAATTAAAGAAAATCAAAGCCAAAGTGCTTTGCTAGACCAAACTGCAAGTTCCCTCTCCACCAACACTAAGGACCTTATCCCAGGTAAGTCCCCCCCACCCCCTGTTTTTTCTCTGTTTTTACACACTGCCTGTGAGGATGCATCTTGCCAGAATGTGAAAATGGTGAGAAGTGAGGGGAAGTGCAAAGAAGATGAGGGAATGACAGGGATGGCTAGCCACCCTGAAGATGGACCTTGTTGGGGTAAGACGAGTTCCCACTCTTCAAAACGCTTTCCTCCACTTCTCTCCCATCTGTGGGATAATATCCTTAGTATTCATGAGGACTTAACTACAGCTTCAAGGCACAGTAAACCAAGGAAATTCTGCTCAAATTAAGTATTTAGTTTTCTGTTAAGCATTACGGGCTGTTAGGAAAACGTAATGATAACTTTTGACTCTTCATTTTGAGAATCCAAAGCTATCATTACATTTTCCAAATGCAACAGATGTAAGCTAAACAAAGTGATTTCCATTGCAGAGTTTAGATGTTTTTAACTGAAACTGTAAATTGGATTTCAACTTTTCATGTGTGGAATGTATACACTGGAGTAGAGAGGGTAAAAAAGCTGCTCCATGAGATTGTACAGTTCTCCAGAACAACATGGGACGGGGTCTGCAAGAAGGTATCAGGAAAATTTCCTCATCTCCTACTAAGAGGTGTTTCCACCAGATCAGGGTTCCTTCTGTATGTGGAAAGGGGACTTTGCATTTGATTAATATTAGTGTGAAATAAGAGAAGCAGTTGTCCTATTGTACAGCCATATTCTGGTGAAACAGACATTAGAAACCTTGTCTATAATATGGTTAGACAACTGCATGAGTGTGTGTGTGTGTATGGGAACCACTCTTTGCCTTCCCCAATGGGCATGTTTAGGCTCAATGGAAGTAATATTGTATCCCTTCCAGTCACACCGGGAGCATCAGTTTAGTGGGCAACCTAAACTAAGTCTGGCACCACTTTGGCTATTTTGGATTTGGGAAAAAAATTCACAAAACTGGGAGAAATGAGAGGACTTTATGGGTCACCATGGAGGCTCTGGAAACAATAAAGTTTGATTTGGGAGCACCTCTGGTTTACAGGTGTCTCTTCTCTTATACATAGTCTAGGGCACTATTTCTTAAATTGTGGGTCCCTTTGGTACAATGTTGGGGTTCGAATTATTTGGCAACAGTAAAAAAAAGTGGTATGTTAACTAGTTGCTGTTATAAACATTTACACAAATCTCCCTCCTGCCTGGAAGATCCAACGGGGGGCCTTGGAGCAGAAATCCCCACTCCCTTAACAAAGCCCTCTTCCAGCCCTTCCGAGGCAAGGGCGGGGGGGGGGGGAGGCGAGAAAGGCTTCAGGTCTTGTCAGAGTGTTCTCCCATTAAGTGCAGGGGGAAATGGGGGGAAGGGGGGGAGATTGGCAGTGCCCATGATGCCCATCCCTCCTTATCTTGGATCAGCAGGGGTGAGTATCTGGACACCCCCACTGCAAAACTGCAGGGTTTAGGCTGGCTGTGTGGCCTCTATCCCAAGAGGAACTGGGATTTAAAATCCCAGTTCCTATTGGATCTTTTGCCTGTCTGGAACCGCCCCAGTTCAAAGCAGATATTGTGGGATTTTCTGCCTTGATATTCTGGGATATAGGGCTGTGTGGAAGGGCCCTCCGAGAGGTAAGTTAGCCAAGGGAAAATGTGTGGCTGGTTATGATAGTCTCAATATGGATGAATCTCTACTGTAGAATTAATGTAGTTTGACCCTCCTTTAACTGCAATGGCTCAGTGCTATGAAATCATGGGAGCTGTAGTTTTACAAGGCATTTGGCCTTTCTGCCAAAGAATGCTGGTGTCTCACCAACTACAAAGCCCATGATTCCATAGCATTGAGCCATGACAGTTAAACTAGCATCAAATTCAATTAATTTGTAGTGTTGAGCGAGCAGGGATTTGTGATATGTGTAGCTTTAACAGGGTCACTGCATGTTCATTGCAGGCCAGGAAAATGCAGTGTCAAGCTGATTTCTTATTCAAGTCCACAGACAGAAAAGCAATACAGGCAGAGAAAACGGACAAAACAAGTAGAGACATAGACCCCTTCCAGACAGCTGAATAAAAAAAACACATTATCTGCTTTGAACTGCAATATATGGCCATGTGGGCCCAGGACCCTTCCACACAGGGTCCCAGGGCGCATCCAGGCAACTCCTTTATTGCAGTAACTCCCACAATAAAGAAGGGCCTGTCCAAATGACGTCCTGGATAATCCCAAATAAATTTGCCACAAACCAGGAAAGCCCTGGTGTGTATCTAATTAATTAGATAGTGGATTTATTCGGCACGTTCTTGGAAGGTGTGGGATAAACTCACTATTTCTGGTGTCCAGAAAACTGTGGGAATACCCGTCCCCCTCCCCCAAAGTCCACAAACCCCTTTTAAAAGTAAATAAAACTTACCTGGCCTCCTGTACACTGTTGCAGCAGCTCTCCCAGCGTGTAGAAATGACGTGCCAGGAGAGCGGGGGAGGGGGGGGGAGCTGGTAGAACTGCTGCAACAATGTACTGGAGGTGGGTGTAGACAGGCCCCCAGGAACATCTGCGTTTTTAAATGTGAATAATTCTGGGATAAAGGGCTGTCTGGAACAGCCCCAGAATATCAAGGCAGAAAATCCCACATTATCTGAGTATGGACTCAGATATCCCAGTTCAAAGCTGATATTGTGGGATTTTCTGTCTTGATATTCTGGGTTATATGGCTGTGTGGAAGGGCCAATAGGGAAGGAAGGGAAAGGATGTGGAGATGATAAATATTTGTTATTTGTGGGAAAGGCAAGTGGCTCAAAATGCCCTGAATTTTGGATGTCATGATGCTTGATCTGTCATCAAGCCACAAAGCAACTGATACACAAACAGATACAAAGGAGTGGAAGTCCAATTGTTCTGTCGCACTGTAGTCAGTGGGAATAATAAGCACGTCTTTTGTGGAGCAAGCCCTACGCTCCACACATTTGTTTGTAATTATAACCTCTATTGCTTTCCAATGTAAACTTCTCTGTTCTGTTCCAATTTTAGCAAATGTGTAAACAGCAATTGGAAATGTTCATCTGAAACATGCCTGGTGCGACCCAGCTTAATTAAGCAAATCAATGAGGGAAATTATGGGTAAGAAGAACCCTCTGGTTTTCAGCATTAATGGGCAAATGTTCCTCTTTTATTGGCAGAGAAAATAAGCTCAGCCTTGTTTTTGTCTCTTTGCATCAAAAGTCTTAAGAAATCTTGCTATATCACTAAGCCCATAAATGGGAGCATGTCTACGAGCATTTTAAAAAACCTTTTCATGCTTAGAATAAATGTGTGAAATATTTTAAAAAGAAGCTTGACAACTCATAGATGCCAAGATATAATCCTTTGAGCTTCCTCTTTTCAAGATGAAAAGTGTTAAGAGTTTACAGCTGAGAAAATAAATGCTTTCATGATTTCTTATCTACCTCACACAAAACCCATATTCCATCAGGTAGTAATCTAGCCATCCTATCCATAAGGTTGGAAAGTATTATTTGTCAAGTATTTTACCAAGCATTGCCCTTTTCTTCCTGTTAATTATGCCCATGGGAAAGAAAATAGTGTTACTTGCAATTTCCACATCCTACTCTGATAACACAGCATTGCTCTAATAGGCTTACACTATCAACAGTATATCAACACATTTAAAATAACTAATGGATCTGTCTCACTTTCAAATTAGACATACTTCAATCTGCTTCAGTTAATATAAATATAAACTTTGATGCAAACTTACTGATGACAACATACAAAACATTGGATAAAGTAAGTTTTGGCATATGAAAGCGGTGTTCTTAAAGACCACGGATCTCCACTGTGTCAAATCTGTCACTCATATAAGCTGGGCAAACTAGAACATGATCAATCATGGAACAATGGTGCCATGAAAAGAAGGCAGCCGTGTGAGAGCAGAATGTGGTAGATTTATTTATGGCATGTACTTGTGGTTCTACATACCATCTAATATTATACATTCTCTGAGTCATCCATATGTATAAAATCAGAAATTATCATATTTTGAGAAGTACAAGTCAAATATCCCTTATCCAAAATGCTTGAAACTAAAAGTGGTTTGGATTTCAGATTTTTTAAACTGTATTTGCATACATCTACATCATGAGGTATCTTAGAGATTGGACCCATGTCTAAACACAACATTTATTTATGTTTCATATTCATTGTATACAATGACACAAAGGAAATCTTGAATTTTGGAATATTTAAGATTTCCAGATAAGGGAAGCCCAATTTTTAAACACTTCATGAGTATTTGTTAGGAGAAACCGTTCATATTGCAGTTTCCATTTCTTCAAGAAAGACAGAAATTTACCTTTCCCTATTAGCATTTCGGAAAAGAGTCAAAATCTCGCTCTGTGAGCAGGCCTTTGGAAACTAAGGCAATGCAGTATTTCTTGAATCAAAACTTTGTGCAATTGACCTTGGAACGGACTCAGACCATGAACTTGGATGGCGTGTTTTCTAGTTTTTAATTTTTTAAATCTGTTTTAACTCTGTTTAATATTTTGCAATTTTTGAAATGTTGGGTGATTGTTGTCAAGGTATGATGAGGTGCTATTGTAAGCCACCTTGAGCCCCCCTGTCGGGGTAGAGAAGGGCAGGGTACAAGTATGTCAAATAAATAATAAATAAATAGCTCTATTCAGGAGACTTGTAAGTGTCTAATGAAACACATCAAAAGGAGGTTTTGTTTAGATGGCCTTGGATCCTTTCCTGGCAGAAAGGAGAATTATCAAGCTAGTTGATCAATCACTCAATCAATCAAGGTCCACTTATTATGCAAGGTTGTTGAGTGCGGTACCATAGAATCATAGAATCATAGAGTTTTAATGATAAAGAGCCATAAAGAACTAAAGGACCTGGGAATGCCAAGACAAGTGTCATCTCCAGGTTTCTAGCACAATTCTATGGTCAACATCTGATGGAAGTTTTGCCATATTTCCAACAGATGTTGACCATAAAATTGCATTGTTGACCTAGGCCACCATTAACTGCATTATATGAGTCTACAGTGACCATATAATGCAGTTCCAAACTGCATTATATGGCAGTGTAGATGGAGCTCATTTCCCTCCGTATTGCTAAGTTCTCCGGAGCAATTCTATGGTATAGGTCAACTGGGAAGCTCAATACACTGTTCATTTCAGGTAAAAAGCCCCCTCCCATATGCACACATTTCATGTGAAGACTGGTTTATGCAAAGGGTTCTGGAACATGTTCCTTGTGTATCATGAAGGCCTGCTGTAAATAAATAAACAAACAAATAAATAAATAAATAAATAAAATTTTCTTGTTTATTTGTTGCATGTTTTCGATCATTTCTGACTTATGGATGACACTAAAGCAAACCTATCATGGAATTTTTTTGGTAAGATTTGTTCAGAGAGGATATGTTTTTGCCTTCCTCAGAGGTTGAAAGAGAGTGACTTGCTCAAGGTAGCCATATGGGGTTTGTACCCTGGTGTCCAGTCATAGACCAATGTTGAAACCATGAGACTATACTGGTTCTTGGATTTCTCTTTCACCTCAACTATTTTTTACTCCTTTTACAAATGACATCAAAATCAAACCATCCTGATGGGTATATATTACTACCCCAGTTAACATAGTAATTGGCTCATCTTCATTTATGATCACTTCGTGCACAAGGGTAGAAATAACTACTACACAAAAAAACCTTTACATTCATTCCTGAAATCCTTCAGCTATCATGGGCATTGGCTTATACTCATTTATGCTCACAAAAAACTTAATAAAACACGACAAAACATCTGTATGGATATGCAATTAGAAACTGCCCCTATGAAGTAAAATCTGATAAAACTTCTAAGCCTTAAAACTCCATAGACATATTTGCATTGAAACCAGTTTAAAACAGACCAGCATGATATGTGTTACTGATCCACTATTATTGTATATTTATGAGGCAGATGGAAAGCTCACAACTACAGCCAGTTTTGGGGGATGAGCTTGAAAGAAGGCTATAATTCTCGCCTTGGCACACTCCCTCCGCCTGCTGCCCTGTTGGACATGAAACCAGTCACGGTAGGTCTCTTTTTTCAAGGTTTTGTTCAGTAGACAAGCATTAACACAGCTTCTTACATCCCCCTTGTTAAAAAGGTAATAGGTTTTTCTCTCATCCTATATAGAGCTTCCAAAGCATGTGTCAATCATTTGATCTATTTGGCAACAGAAGTCTTTCTGATCAAAATGAAATGTTCCTCTGAGGGTTGAAGTTTACTCAGCTGAATATTGTGTTTTCATTTTTTTTTTGGATGGGAAAAGTAGTGTTTTAAAAAAAGCTATTATGTCTTCAACATATTGTAGAGGCAAGATATAGTCCATAAAGAGTTTGCAGAGAACAGCTACTCTAGCATGTCCTCTGTGGATAAGATTGAAATGGTATCCAGTCACATCTAAAAAGAAATTTGATATTTTTACTTTGAACCTATCAGATTAACTTGAATTTGCTTTTAATCCTATGCCTATTTGGTTGTAATTTTATGCCAGGATGTAATACTTCCAAGGGCCTTTTTGCATTACACAGTAATATCCATATGATTCCACTCTAACATGATTCCATCCTATGAAATCCTTTTAAGGATTTTCAGCTAGAGAGCTTCTCTAATGATACTGACTGAACTACAAATCCCCAGGCTTCCAAAGGAAGCTAAATCATTCACGGCCTCTACATTGCTGAATTAATGCAGTTTTGCACCACTTGTACTACTCAACACTATGGAATCCTGAATGCTGCAGCTTGGTGGGGCACTAGCATTCTTTAGCAGAGATGGCTAAAGACCTTGTAAAGCAGCAACTGCAAAAATCCCATAGCATCAAGCCATGGCAGTCAATGGCATTACTTCTAGAGTATAAATGCATTCACTGTGCCATAACTATTTAGTGTGAAATAACCTGAGAGTACTTTATGAGACATAACTGTTTCTCTCCACTTTGCACTTTGGTGGATGTATCATTTCATTGTAAGGAAATGAGACCTGTCTCTTTAGACCTCCTATAACATGCATTTCCAGAGTTGGAGCAAGACCTTTGGCAGCTTGAAGCAAAGAAGAGATGACCTTCTCACACAGACAAAATCAGACATATTTGTCAGAAAATTCTCTAAGGGCTCTTCCAGACAGGCCAAACTCCCAAGAGGAACTGGCATTTAAAATCCCGGTTCTTCTCGGGATTTAGGCCACACAGCTGGCCCAAACTCCTGGATTTTGCATTGGGGTTGAGGGGGTAGATGCTGTTCCCTGAAGATCCGGATCTTTTAAGGCATTTTTAAAACCTGAATTTTATTTAGCAAATTTTGTTTACTCTAGGTTTAACCGAATTAGCCTGAAATGTTGATTTTCTCAGGCTAATCTGTTTCTCAGCCTGCAATTTAGGGCTGTGTAGATGGGACCATACTTCAGATGTGAGAATGAAACAACATCTTTCACTGCTCCTCGATGCAGCAGGCCCATTAAGGAGACAAATGTTGCATACAGTTTTCTCTTCTTGCACCTTGCTGCCAATGGTGACTGCTTAAGGGTATGGCTGACCCTACCTATTTAAGGTACATAAGCTATCTCTATAGGTAGATGTATGCAGTCATGCTGGCCACATGGAGGTGTCTTCAGACAATGCCGGCTTTTCGGCTTAGAAATGGGGATGAGCACCAATCCCCTGAGTCAGACACAGCTGGACTTAGTGTCAGGGGAAAACCTTTACCATTACTTACACTGTGGAATTCATGCAGTTTAATATCACTTTAACTGTAGTAGCTCAATACTATGGAATTCCAACTCCCATAAGCCTTTTCTACCAAATAGTGCTGTGCTTCACCAAACTACAACTCATCGGATTCCATAAGAACTGAAACATGTCACTTAATGTAGTTTCAAACTGCATTAATTCCACAATGTAGATGCACTCTATATGGGCAGTGTGTTTTCCAACCTCCCTTTCATGACTTCATATATAAAGGATCCTATAGAAGTGATCCTTAAGCAGAGATTGTGGAACCAGGTACACGTCTCATTTCTGCGTTCGGTGTGCAGAAGCAGCAAACATGAGAGAGGATGAGAAACGAGTTCTTGAAAACAATAATCAAACTTTATTTATATACTGTCCTATCTCCCCGAAGGGACTCAGTGGTGAACAACAAAGTCAGCAAACATTCAATGCTGTACAAAAGAAAAACACATAGACAAACAACCATCCCACCCAGAATTCTTGCAGAACCATATTTAAACCAAAAATAAGACTCATTATATCAAATAATAATAACATGTAGCATTTACAATTCCATAGTAATCCATCAAGATGATTTGCTTGTTTTAGGAAAATATAATCGCAGAAGATGACTTCCCTGAATTTTTTGTGGCCTGGCATGAGTGGCCAGGTTGGATTCATGACCCATTGGATCAAAGAAACTGCGCCGCATCCTGGGCCTTTTCAACTGCAAGTAAAATCCTGCTTTTGTTTCTCTCACTCTCTTTTCTGCCCCAGACTGTGTCAAACCCTTTCAGTTAGTAGTTGATTTCTTGGATTCCAATTATCTCTATTTAGAGCAGTGGTTCTCAGCCTGTGGGTCCCCAGGTGTTTCAGCCTACAACTCCTAGAAATCCCAACCAGTTTACGAGCTGTTAGGATTTCTGTGAGCTGAAGGCCAAAACATCTGGGAACCCACAGATTGAGAACCACTGATTTAGAAGGACCATCCTCATTAACCTTCTACCAGCCTTTTTTTTAAAAAAAAACAAAAACAAAATCCCACTTTCTCTCTTGTCTTCCACTTTTCCACTTTGTCCTCAGCTTTCTTCAATTGTTGAAAACTGAGTCTAAAATGAAAAATAGCTTGCATTCAATTAACTCAAGAGGGGAGGAGGGATGGCATTGTATCCTTCCCAGTAGACTCAGGTAGAAGCAAATTGTTGCAGCATGCCCCACTTGTTGGTTCTTCCTCATCAATAACATCTTCCACCCTAATGGGGCTTGGCCATACATGTCCAAGTTTTCATCCATAAAAGTTTAGTTGCTGCTGGTTAGATATCTTTGCAAATATTATATGACACTTAACTCCTAGGCTTGAACAATGTTCTTTTTTGGAAACAATGAGTTCAGAAGCTTTTGTGGTGGCATCTTTTTCTTCTGGCATTCTTCAACCATCTTGGGGAATGCTTCTAAGCCTCAGGAGATTCTAAAAGTTGTATCAAAGCAAGGAACATTTATGAATTTTGTTTTAGAAATTCTGCATTATGAACAAGGAACGCTTTAAAAATTCAGCTTTGTTCTGCAAAAAGCCCCACAGCATTTACTCCCTCTGTTCCATTTAGTATGGATGTTTCTCACCACCTCCCACGTGCATGAGGTTTGAGTGTCTTCTCTTTTTCAAGAAGCATTTTATCATTTCCACTTCTATACATTACTTAAGGAGAAAAGAAAAACAGTAACATGAAGTAAAAGCCAGGTCTTTGTAGCCAGTAAAATGTGAACATTGAGTTCTTTCACACAGGAATCTTTCCAATTAAATTAAATTGAAAGTGCACAGACTACTTTCAGACTGAAGGACTATAGTCATCTTTAAATGTTGAGTATATCCATGAGGATATTATGCTACCATTCAGTGAGAAGAAGGTTGTGGACTTGGGGACCGAAACCATCACAGTAGAAACCCATTGCCAGACCATCATATCCCTGCAATGAAGTCAGGGGTTATTGGTAACCAAAACCCATCAGTGTTTTCTGTGATCTTGAGACCTACTCATGCAATGAATTCAGGCCAGTGGCTCTCAATCTGTTTATCAGCTGTTAGGATTTCTAGGAATTGAAACCCAAAATATCTGGGGACCCACAGGTTGAGAACCGCTGATCTAGGCACTTCTGTGGTTGCATCTTCTGCCCTTTCAGCATTTTGCAGTCATCATTATCATCATCCTCATCACAGTGGGAGGACAGAGTTACACAGCCCATCTAGAAATGTGGCTTTGTACTGCTGAGGGACTGCAATTGTGTGGCTGTGTGATTGGAATCGGCATAATACCAGTCAGTAGTCACTATTCTATATCAGAGGAATGCTGAGGGAGAGCAATAATGTTGAGGGATGGTAATAATGTTGAGGGACGGCGATATTTATGTATAATTAATCTTCCCCTGAGGAAGTTTCAGACGTTCCCTGGCTTTGAATTCATTTCTGTTATCCCATTTACCTCCTCGAAACCCTCCACTTCTTTTTCCCCAGCAGGTCAACTGTCCAAGTTTTATTTCTCCAGATTTTTCTGCCCCTTTCTGGTTCCCAGCAGGCTACAGACTGCCCTATTTTTGCCCCAAACGTTATTAGCACACAGGCATAAGTATCCCAGTCACAGGCAGATACTGTTTGAGTTGCAGCTTATCAGCAGTGCCATCTTTCACAGTTTCAAAAAGTTAGCAAAATAATAATCAGTTATTTTCCACCCTGTGAGTGTGCCCTTTTCCATTTTTTCTGTAACGTATTGAAGACAATTAGGCTCTTTCAGACTACATAATTATATGTATTGTGAAAGGCTTTCATGGCCAGAATCACTGGGTTGTTGAGTGTTTTCCAGGCTGTATGGCCATATTCCAGAAGCATTCTCTCCTGACATTTCACCTGCATCTATGGCAGGCATCCTCAGAGGTTGTGAGGTCTGTTGGAAACGCATCTCCCTCTACGTCCCGCCTTGGAGTTTAAGATCGTCTGGGGAGGCCCTGCTCTCGGCCCCACCTTTATCACAAGTGAGGTTGGTGGGGACAAGGAGCAGGGCCTTCTCGGTGGTGGCCCCTCACCTGTGGAATTCACTCCCCAGGGAAATTAGGTCATCGACGTCCCTCCTCTCTTTTAGAAGGAAATAAAAAACATGGATATGGGACCAGGCTTTTGGGTAATCTGGCAGATAGACAAAGGACAATGATGACTAGAATTGATAGGATTTGACAATGTGGAATGAATTTATGGACTCTGAGCTGGTGAACGTTGAGCATTAGATTGGTTTTATTGATTATGATGTATAATTTATTGTTTTAATTGTTTATAATTGCTGCTTATATATGTTTTTATCTTATTGTTGTGTTGGCATCGAATTGTGCCTTTTGTAAGCCGCCCTGAGTCCCCCCTTGGAGGTTGAGAAGGGCGGGGTAAAAATGCGCGAAATAAATATAAATAAATGATTAAAATGGATTTATATATCTGTGGAATGTCCAAGGTGGGAGAAAGAACTCTTTGTCTGTTTGAGGTAGGTGTGACTGTAGCAATTGGCCACCATAATTAGCATTTAATGGCCTAGCAGTTTTCAAAGTCTGGCTTCTTACTGCCTGGGGGAATCCTTTGTTGGGAGGTGATTAGCTGGCCTTGGTTGTTTCTTGCCTGGAATTCCCCTGTTTTTGAGTGTTGCTCTTTATTTACTGCTATGATTTTAGAGTTTTTTTTAACTGGTAGCCAGCTTTTGTTCATTTTCATGGTTTCTTCCTTTCTGTTGAAATGGCCCACGTGCTTGTGGATTTCAATGACTTCTCTGTGTACAAGACTCAAAAACAGGCGAAACGTCAGGAGGGAATGCTTCTGGAACATAGCCAGACAACCTGGAAAACTCACAGCAACCCTACATAATTATATTTCAGTGGATGAACAGAGGCACATGAGTGTAGATGGTCCTTCATATATTCAAGCACTAGAACATTATATATCTTTGTCAGATATGCTTTAGGTCAGCAATGTGAACTAGGTAAACACTTCAGAACATCTTGATTTTCTTGGTTATTGTTCCAATTAGCTAACATTGTATACTGTTTTTCTGAAGATACTCTATACAATTCATAAACTATGGGTTTCTAATTTTAAGGAAACATGCAATATTAAAAAGTATGTAATATATGATGTAATATATCCAGTGCAGAAAAAAGGATAGAAGTCATTTCTTGATCACATAGGAATTGGCTGTTTCCCCATAAAACAGGTGTTGCTGCGGATAGGATTGCAATTCATTCCAAAGGTCGTTTCACAGACAACCTTTCCCCTCAACATTTGATCTCTTGTGACACCCGGAATCAATACGGATGCAAAGGAGGAAGCATAATGGGTGCTTGGTCTTATCTCAAGAAATATGGGTAAGTGATTGTTTACATATAAATGATTGTGTGTGTGTGTGTGTATTCCCTGTAAATGTAAAACAACCAGAATCAATAATGGTCTAAGAAAATTTATCTAACCATCTAGACTTTGTTACAAGATTATAATGTATATATTACAAACATCTACCAAGTATGAAAGTAGTCATGACACATTTTCTGTACACCGAACACAGGTTGAGATATTAGACAACAGCAGAAAATGAATAACTATCAAACAGTTAAATCAACTGGTTGTTGTTAAAATGAGGTTGAGACAGTGTGATTTGCCCAAGGCCACCTATGGTGGATCTGCACTGTAGAATTCATGGCAGTGACATTACTTTCACTGCCATGGCTCAATGGTATGAAACCCTGGGAGTTGTAGTTTCACAAGGTCTTTAGCCTTCACTGCCACAAAGTCTTACTGCCTCACCAAAATAGAATACTCACGATACCATATCATGGAGTCATGGCAGTTAAAGTTGTATTAAACTGCATTCATTTACAGTATAGATGTAACCCCAGTGGGTTTCCATAGCTGAGCAGGGATTCAAACACCAATTTCCTGAGATCATAGTCCAACACTCAAATCACTCCTGTTCCTTCTCCAATAAGTTATTAATGCTTCTGGGATCACTGTCAAAGTAAGTAAACATAATAAATAAAACATACTTGGCCATTTTTTCAGGCAGTATACCCTATGGGATACCCTTTGTTCAACAGTCAAACAACTGTCCAGAATATAAGGGCAGTAAATCAATCAATCCAATCAATCATTTCTCTAGTATTTGAATAGTATTTGACCAAGACCTGGATATAAAAATGAATTTACTTCATTTGTCAACTCCCTAATAGCTTCATGTCTGTCTCTTTCTTGAGTTAACCTGTCTGCATTTATTGATATCTTGGTTTTTTCCAGGATGGGACACAAAGTGGATCACAATATTGATTAAAATAAAGGATAATTTATTTTTTGTATTAAAACAATGGATGACAAAAGAGATAAACAGGAATGAAATAAGCTGCCGTATGAAATACACACACATATATATTAAAAGGGAGTTAAAACATAAAAATAATGATGATAAAAATGCAGCATCCTGGCCTTACAGAATTAATATCTTTGGTATACCGTTCAAATAAATGGCACACACAAAAATATTTTGAGCCTCTGGACTAGGGGTTGGGTGGAAAAAATGCAGCTATGCTTTGGGGCATGTTATGATCACCAAATGTGAACTCTCTTATAAGTAGTTTTCAAGATAGCTTGGAATGAAATTTGATGTTGGCTCAAACATCCTTAGCCATAAAGGCCCATGTGTAAGAATATGTTTTGTAACTTAATTCAGGGGAGTGTTTATGTGTGTGAACCAAAGTAGCAGATGACTCTGATGAAGAGCCTGGGGAGCATTTCTACAGCTTCTGCCTCTCTGTAGGTCCTTCCACACAGCCCAATATCCCAGAATATCAAGGCAGAAAATCCCACAATATCTGCTTTGAACTGAGTTATCTAAGTCCACTCTCAGAGAATGTGGGATTTTCCGTCTTGATATTCTGGGATTTAGGGCTGTGTGGAAGGGCCCTATGGGCACTTCCAGACACGGGTAAAACCCATGTCAAAGCAGATATTAAAACCTGCTTCAGCGTGGGTTTTTGTTCCCACAAACTGCCCCAAACCTAGGCTTTCCAGGGTAGGGTGTACAGATGCCATCCCGGTAACTATTGAGATGGAACCCAGCCCCCCAGAAGCCCCCCAAAACAAGCCTTATATTTTTAAAAAACTTGAGTCCTCCTGGCAATGTAGAAATGATGCACCAGGGGACCGGGAGGTAGAGGGTGGGTGAGGAGGAAAATCACCCCCCCCCCATCTCCTGACACATTATTTATATGAGCCAGGCGGACACAAGGACCACTGTTATGGCGACTCAGGCAGTTTTTAAAATTTAAAGCTTGTTTTGGAGGCCTGGGGGAGGGAGGGAGTGCCATCTCACACATATTGGGCTCCTGGAGCCCAAAATGTGTGAGATGACAATGGGAACTCACCTCCCGGTAGTCTCAGGATTACCCAGGGGTGAGTCCATACAGACCCAATACTCCATTAGACCCAGGCCTTTCAGGAATGCCTGGGTCTAATGAGATATCTAATTAATTTGGAACAAAACGGCTAAACCTTGCATTGTTCTGAATTAATTCACATTGACCTGAGGCATCATTTGGACACTCAGATAAAAACGTGACAGGTCATGCATTTTTGGGCCGGTCTGGAAGGACCCTACATTTATTTATTTATTTATTTATTATATTTATATCCCATCCTTCTTGACCCTGAGGGGGATTCAAGGCAGCTTACAGCATAGGCCAAGGGTCCCCAAACTAAGGTCCGAGGGCCGAACATGGACCTCCAAGGTCATTTACCCGGCCCTCGCTCAGGGTCAAGCTAAGTCTGAAATGACTTGAAAGCACACAACAACAACAACAATCCTATCTCATCAGCCAAAAGCAGGTCCACATTTTCCATTGAAATACTAATAAGTTTATATTTGTTAAAATTGCTCTTCATTTTAATTATTGTATTAACTACAAATAATATTTGTATTGCACTACAAATAAGATATGTTCAGTGTGCATGTTTTTTTCAAATTATAATCCAGCCCTCCAACAGTTTGAGGGACTGTGACCTGGCCCTCTGTTTAAAAAGTTTGAGGACCCCTGGCATAGGCAATAATTAAATGTGAAGAAACATTTCAATTAAAAATTTAAACTAGATTTAAACTAGACTTTAGCCTTCTTTGCTGGTGAGAGTGCCAGTGCCCCACCAAAATACAACTTGCAATGACACTATGACAGTCAAAGTTGTATCAAACAGTTGTTTCAAATTAATTCAGCAACTACAGTGTAGTTGCTGAATTAATTCTATAGTATACATACACCCTAAGACCTCAGCCCTTTATTTATTTCAATAGGAGTATGTCACACTGTTTTCAGTGGGATCTGTTTCAGAATAGACATAGAAATGTGCATTAAATAATTCTCACTTCACACACACGGTTTTTTTTTTTGCATGCTTGAATTTCTACTCAGTCAGAGAACTTACTGTGTGATGTTAGACAAGTCACACTCTTTCAGCCTTAGAAAAAGGCAATGACAAACTCACTCTAAACAAATTGTGCCAAGAAAACCCTATGATAGGTTCACTGTAGGGGCACCATGTGTCAAAAAGGTCTTGAAGGCATGCAACAACAAGAAGCGTAACACTGCTCCACACTCTTTCATTCTCCTTGCAGGGCAGTGGACATTTCTGCATTTCTGGGAATATACTTTCATGGCCTGAAATAACCCCAGATACTCATTCCTACAACTGTTGAAGAATAGCTGTGGTTCAGAGTGTCCATAGAACAGAAATTAACCCGATTTTTCCTTTTCATTCTGGTGTCTCCAGGATATATTCACCCGAATAAATAATCTGGAACAGTGTGCAAATTGGCAAATTGGCTGGGTAGGCTATAGGCTTGCAGGATCCACTTTTGAAATTATCTACATTAGTACCCTGAGATCCACCAATAGAAGCCGCAAGTATCCTCCCGCCCTCACATTACTGTTGTCTAGGTAATGAAAGGGTCCACAGAGATCAAAACATCTGAACCTTTGCTCTTCTAAATATTATTGAAAGAATTCTCCAGGTATCTCTGACTATTACAACATGCTAACTGTAAACTTAGGGAGCTGAAACTAGGGTTGGCAAGGCTATTTTGAAAATATTTTTTAAATGGATGAAAAATGTACTAGCACTATTTGGCAGAGAAGGCTAAAGAATGTGTAAAACTACAACTCCCATGGTGCCACAGCATTGGGCCACAGCAGTTAAATGAGTTTCAAACATTCATTCATTTTACTGTGTAGTTGCAGCTTCAGAAAGCTGTTCCAGGGAAGAGCTATGCAGTGGTTCGCAACCTATGGGTCCCCAGATGTTTGATGTTCTAACTCCCAGAAATCCTAACAGCTGGTAAACTGGTTGGGATTTCTGGGAGTTGTAGGCCAAAACACCTGGGGATCCACAGGCTGAGAACCACTGAGCTATAGCATGGTCTCTGCACATCTGTGTTGTTTACTTTAAAGGGATTTATAGTGCTTGAAGAGGTTTATTCTTATGACATGGCTATTGCCAGATATCAGTCTCCCAAAATCTTTTGGTTTAACTACAGAATATATTCCATCAAACTTCTCTCCAATTCACACATTGTTTCATCTTCCTTCTACAAATGGTATAAACATGGTAAGTTAGGTTTCCTTTATTAAAATAATCCATTTACACCAATGCATTCTTCTTGTTGACCAAGAAGAGAATAATTCTAGATAATGCCTGTATAAACCCCACTTTTGAAGTGTGTTTTCCTGCTTCCAATAATAATGAGAAGGAAAATGCATTTTTAAAACACAAATATATTTGACCGCTTCTTCCAAGAATAATGAAAGGGAAAATATTGTTTAATATTAAAATATGAGATTTCTTCCACCCTCCTAAAATGTGTGGAAAAACATTTTCTAGGGCTTTTAAAATGGATTTAAATAGTAATTCAGTGCAAATGTGATTGTTGTCGTGTGCCTTCAAGTCATGATGGGGCCTTATTAATATTTATAATTACCCATAACAAGTATTATGTAGGCTCAGGGGTGAAGAAAATCAGAATTCTCTTTCAAGCGAGAAATCTAAATTCTGGTGCCTGTTCACTGTCATTTAATTGCTCTGTTTATTTATACGGCAATAATTTGACATTATGAGAGTACTCATGGGTGTTGGAAATTAAAATGCCTGTTACACCAATGGGATGCCAATTACCAATATTAGTTTAGTGAGGCTGCTAAGCAAGTATTACAGGCTTTCACAAAAATTTAAACACCCAGAACTAATTGCCTGTGTTAATATTACTGTATAAATCAAAATATTTATGGTAAATAAAAATGACCCAGAAAACATGGGTCAGCATGGTACCTCTGTT